GAAATAACAGGGGGAAAAAAAAATGTAATCCGTTCCGGCCCTCTAAAAAACTCCCCTTTTAGTGCTAATAACAATGGAAAAAACAGGATTTTAATTGCTATAGAGATATACACACACAAAACAATTATAGTATATATGCATTCCTGTGATATGAAATAAAATGTGGTTTAAATTATGAGTTCTTACCTTCGAGACAGACGACGCAGTAGCGGCTAATGGCGGCATGTGCGGAGGAAGAGAATTGAGAACCGTACGTAGACACTTGATTCCGTAGTGTGCCTTACACTTACACTACGTAACTTACATTAACTTAGCTCACGTATATATATTTTTTACTTATAAAATATGAAGAATAATACTCAAAATAGAGTGTAAATCACGTAGATAACGCAAACACAATACGGAAGACTCACGGGAGATGCGTACGGACGTCGACGAACAGGAAGTGAACGAGTGAGGCGGCGCGAGGAGGCTGCTCCGAGTGCTCGGCTACCTAGCGTCGGCGTCTGTAAGCGTGCTCGTATCTCGAGTCTTTACTTACGAAGCAAAAAAATTCCTCGAAGTCTTCTAGGAATAGCTACTGGTATGTCGAGACGCTCTCGAGGTTCCACTGTACTTTTGTTTTTTAATTTAATTTTTTTTAAATTTTTGTTTTTACTGTTGTCAAAGTCGTGGGTGGCTCAATATTTTCTCGTTTAATCCTATTTAAATGTATTTGTACTTTTAAAACATTTGCTCTGCCCTAAATGAACAAATTTGCTCTGTTTTTCAATCAGTATGTAGTACTAGTACTAGATCAGGTATGAAAGGCTGAAACGATCAATTACATCTTGTCCTCGCTCCTGAATATGTGTATCATGTTTCCAAGGTAATAAAGCTGCTAAGGTTCAAAAATACACATATTATCAGCTGGATTTTTACATGAACATGTGACCTTTATAACCATAATCTTTAACAGCTGTAAAGGTTTTTCTGACAGGATCTTCACACTTAGAACAAGGTTGTTTTTCTTTGCACTGGGTCAGTGAAGTGAAGTCTTTTTTTGTATGTGTTGTTTAAACATATTTGATCATAAATGTATGCACTTAGATGTGCAATTTTTGGACCAGGTCCGCCAACAGATGGGAAACAATTGATTTCCCAGGAAACAAAGTCAAAACCAAGTTTAAATGAATACTTTAACCTTACTCTACTCTTTAGGTCTGGGTTACGCCTCCATGGTCATTGTGTTCTTCTGTAACACCTACTACATCATGGTCCTGGCCTGGGGTCTTTACTACCTTATTAAATCCTTTAACCCCATCCTCCCATGGTCCACCTGTGATAACGAATGGAACACGCCCAACTGCATTGAGAGCTTCCATCCTGAAGACTGTAAAAACGGCAGCCTTGCTAATGTCACCATATCAGGCAACATGACCTGCGCAGAGCTGGCCAAGGCTCAATCACCAATCGTTGAATTCTGGGAGTAAGTTCTGTCTCTATCAATGGTCCGAAAAAACTAGCTAACTGATACTGCTGAATCCTAGAAAATGCTCACTGACATTTGGCAACACCTGGCTAACACCTGTTAAAACGGGTCAACACAACAAACACAAATCCTGATATTGCACTTAACGCTTTAACCAACAACAGCAAATGTCAAAAAAAAACAACAACAAAACACTAACACTGTCCACAGGGTCCAACATGCTCAGGTGCTGTTATGTAACATGGGCCCTGTTTGATGTAGTGCTGTGTTGATTTGAAACGGTGTTATTTTGGATGTTGTCTTAATGGTGCGCTCTTGTGCTGACGGAGTCGTTTTTTTGTTTCTGTACAGGAACAAGGTCCTAAGCATCACCTCAGGTCTGGATGAACCTGGGCACATAAAGTGGGAGATGTTATTGTGTTTAATCGCTGTCTGGCTGTTGGTTTATTTCTGTGTGTGGAAAGGAGTCAAATCCACCGGGAAGGTAAAAAGCCGCCCTTTATTTTGAATGTTTTTACTAAATATGATGGTGTACATTTATCTATCTATCTATCTATTTATCTATCGATGCATTTTATTGTCTTTGGAGTTGTGCCCTGCCTTCGAATACAACTTAATAGATTCAGATCGGAAGGGAAAAGTTAGTTCGAGCAGCTCTGATTTCAGCAAATATTTTCACTGGAAAAATGAAAAGGATGTGATGTCATCTCTAGGGTTAAGTGAAGCCAGAATACACATTGACTCTGTGTTTTGTTACCTTTTCATTCGGGATCCTATTCTTCCTAAGACAACAGCATCTCGGCATGACACTGTTCAAACTGTGTGTGTGTGTGTGTGTGTTTTCTCTAGAGAAACCATGGTTGTAACTTACACTGAAACCAAATGTTAAACGTTAGTTAAATCTTCAGTACATCTGACGTGATCAACCTGGGACCGTGACACAAGTTTGGCTTTACATGACAGATTCATTAAGGCAATCAAAGAATTTAAGGTTTTCTTAAATGTAAAAACTTTATTATTAACTATATATATTAGCAGTAAAATGTGCACAACAGAAAAGGTGCTAATTGTTAGCTTACCTCAAAGCCAGGGACAGATGAGACGAGGATGACCATGAACCACAGGCATCGCTGTCTGTCCAGCTGACAGCTTAAAGACTTTAATCATATAAATATATTTTAAAACAGTGTACAATGAACAATTTTAAACGCTGTGACTCCCGCAGGTTAAAACGGGGTAAAAAAAGAGTTAGAAGACGTCAAAGCGGACACAGTCGGGAGTGGACGTAGGAGTCAAATGCATTTTCACAGTAACACAAAGGTAGACTTAGCAAAATACTGATTAAAAAAAATCACTATAAAAAAACCTGTTTTATTTGTTAGTGTCAGCCAATCAGAGCCAAGTCTGGACTGTATTGACCAGACTGCAAAGAAATAAGTGGTGGGTAACAAATGGATTATTGGACTTTGACATTAAATTTAATTACAATTATGCAGTCAGTCACTGTCATGTTACCATTAATGGGATTTTGTACTCAGCTCTCCTCTCCAAGTCTAAGTCTCCTGTCTAAGTTAGTGTTAGTCAGTCAGTCATTAGCCGTCAGTGGTGGTGTCAGTCAATCATTGGCATCGGTCTGTGTCCTAGAATCCCCAGGCCTTGGACCCCAGGCCTTGAGTTTGACACGTGGTTTAGAGCTAAAAAAAAAATACTCTCAGACAGAGTCTGAAAGTCAGTCAGTCAGTCAATCAACTAACCAACTGGATAGAGTCCGTCCATCAGTCAGTCAGTGAGTGTCGGTCAGCCCTGTCGGTGTTACTTTGTTTAGGTCAGACAGTGTCAATTGTCTAGTCTTAGTCAGTGTCAGTGTCAGTGTCAGTCAGCGTTAGTCAGCGACCTCTATGTCAGGCCTGGTAGGAACTTAGTCATCTGCCTGCTATTGACATAATGTTGAACTTTCAGACCCGGCAGACCCAGGAAACTGACTTCTGCTTATGTGAATGATCTGATATAAAAGAGTTTCCAAGTAATTGTATGAAGAAAAGGAACCCTTTACTTACTTACTCCCCACCCTTTTTTCCTTTCAGCAGGGGTATTAATCTTTATAATGTCAAGGTGTTCACACTGTAGTGTAAATGTAACTCCAATCCTGTCACTATTAATGGACAAACGGCTTAATTATGATTTATTATTAATCATTAAATGATCAACAACCTGTAAAACAATGACATCATATTAAATAAGGAATTTTGATTCCTTCATAAAAAAAGGTCTATATGAAATTGTTAAAAAAAAAAAACAATTGGGAAAAGCCATTATTGATTAACACAAACTATTCATATTTGAAAATAAAATGTAAATATATATATATATATATACATATATATATATAATAGTAACTGCCAGCTATGTGACCCAGGAGTCCCAGATTTAATAGTGCATTTACAGGTTTAAAGGAACACTTCAACAGTGGCATGTTAATAAATTATATATATATATATAGAGAGAGAGAGAGAGAGAGAGTTAAAAAAACAATTGGGAAAAGCCATTATTGATTAACACAAACTATTCATATTTGAAAATAAAATGTAAATATGTATATATATATATATACATATTTACATTTTATTTTCAAATATGAATAGTTTGTGTTAATCAATAATGGCTTTTCCCAATTGTTTTTTTAACTCTCTCTCTCTCTCTCTCTCTATATATATATATATAATTTATTAACATGCCACTGTTGAAGTGTTCCTTTAAACCTGTAAATGCACTATTAAATCTGGGACTCCTGGGTCACATAGCTGGCAGTTACTATAACAACAGACAGGGAGGTGGCAGCGTTTGATTGGTCAAGACGACAGCACTGGACTGCACCGGAGTGACTCAGATACACACACACACGTACGCAACGCACACGTGGCGTTCCATTCAGAAGTGATTTATTTCAGCTTTATTTCCTGAGTGACCCTTGAGTCAGACATTTCAGTAAACGGACAAACACACACACACACACGTGCGCACCGGCACGTACGCACACAAACACAAACACAAACACACGAATGGATTTAATCATTAATAACAATCTGATTAAATAAGCCAGAGCCGGGATTTCAAAGAAGCAACACCACCACACACCAGCATGTGTGTGTTATTAATCAGCAGCAGCAGGCTAAAACTATGATGTTATATTACATATATAATACAGAACATTTATATTAGTGGCGCTTTGGCCCAGAGGCAATGTCTCTGTCAGTGGTGTGGAACCCCAGGGTTCACCTCCTGGGCAAGTTAGGGCGGTTGGTACCTTCCAGTGGACTCACCAACCACAGGAAGGTTCAGGGGGGGTTGGTACGGTGCAGTGTGATTTGGGTGGAGACTGCTGCCCCCGCGACCCGGTAATGGATAAGCGGCTGAAAATGGATGGATGGATGGATGGAACATTTATATTAAAACATCATATTGACAATTACATTTGTAATATGAATCTCTTACAATATAGTCGGTGAAGTCAGCTACCTTTCAAAATTTAAACAACCTTTGTTGAGATTTTCATCCTGGGCATCCATGACGACGGGGCAGCAGTAGAAAGCAAGTCAGTTTTTTTTTGTTTTTTTTGTTTTTGTTTTTTTTTTTTGTTTTGTTTTGTTTTTAAGCATCATTGTTAATTCCCCCCTATAGGCTTTTGTGGAGGAGAAGGAGTAGTCTACAGGTTTTAGGTTAAAAAATAGATATAAATATCCATCCATCCATCCATCCATCCATCCATTTTCATCCACTTATCCGTTACCGGGTCACGGGGGCAGCAGTCTCCACCCAAATCACATTGCACCATACCAACCCCCCTAAACCTTCCTGCAGGTGGTGAGTCCACTGGAAGGTACCAACCGCCCTAACCGGGATTTGAACTTGCCCAGGAGGTGAACCCTGGGGTTCCACACCAATGACAGAGACATTGCCTCTGGGCCAAAGCGCCACTAGATATAAATATAAGTAATATAAATAAAAAAGTCCAAATCTGAATAAATTGGAAAACCTAAGCTCATATCACATTATTTAGTTCATTAATGATATATTATCTTTAACAGCTTGAAGCTTTTTTGTTTCTACAGTCCTACGGTTAGCGCTTTGATATGCTAACCCTAACCCTAACTTTCCGTGGTGCTGAAAAAGCACATTCCTCTCTCTCTTTTTACCTCTCGTTCTCTCTCCCTTTCCTCTCTCAGCGTGAGTGTATGTGTGTGTTTATTTCTCAATGACCCCCATGCTGTCCTCCTCCTCCTCCTCCTCCTCCTCCTCCTTTCTAAGCTGCTGCTGTGCTTTGGGCACAGTGAAAACTAAAAATCTGAAACTCAAACCTCAAGGTTATTATTATGGCAAAGAACAGAGGGAAGGGGGAGACCAGGGTCACCGGGTGTGTGTGAGAGAGAGAGAGGACAGAACTGGAACAAAACAACATTCTTTCACCATATCTTAGCATTATTGCAGTTAGATACATTTATGACGGGATGCTTTGCTATTTCCGGAGAGTATGTGTTTGTTTTGTGTAAGTAGGAAATTGGGTAAAAAACCAAGTGATTGCTTCTTTGCGTGGGTGTTTGTTTCAGATCGTCTATTTCACGGCCATCTTTCCCTCCTTGGTTTTGATCATCCTCCTGGTGCGAGGTGTCACTCTTCCTGGAGCCTATGATGGTATAATGTACTACATCAGCCCTGATTGGTCCAAACTGGGCGAGGCTCAGGTCAGTTTGTGTTCATTTGGTCGTATGTGTTGTCCACCAACCTTGCTCTGGACTTTTTAGACCAATCTCTCAGTTCTCTTCTACACTTGAAAATATCCCATATATTTCTATTTACTGCCTATAATTTCATGACTTCTTTTTGCCATTGAGTAACAACTTGCTCTCTCAACCAACTTATAATCAAGATGGTAAATTTTAGTAGTACCGTAATATCCGGACTATTGGGTGAAGGAAAAATATATATATACCTCCCTATAAGCCGCAGGTGTCCAGATTTTTTTTTTTCCATTTTTAATTAAATAGATGCTTTTTTCCCCAAACTGTGTCTGTAACACGGCTAGCTACACGTTAGCTCTTTCCTGCTTGCATGCCCCGACCGTAGTTGGAATGCACAGGGGAGACTTAGTGATCTGCTCCAGAGCTGAAGCTAACGTTAGCTCCCAGGGCTAACTCCCTTCACTTTGTACTTGTCCGCAGCAGAGGTAAACAGAAACAGTGAAGTTGGGGTCTTTATTATCAGCCACACCGACCACAACAGAACATAAACTACCGTTCTTTCTCTCATATGCGTCCTATGTACATATACGCTCACAGCCATTCACAGACAGACATACGCTACTAGCATAACATACAGTAGCCTACCAGAAAAGTCACTGATCGCTAGCGGTATAAACCTCGTTAGCCCGTAAAAATCCATAAATTAGCCGCATCATTGTTTAAGCCGCAGGGTTCAAAGCGTGTGAAAAAAAAAGTAGCGGTTTATACTCCGGAAATTACGGTATCTATCATTTGGCTATTATAAGCTGGATTTTAACGCTACGTGCTTACCCTTCACTTTTTGTCCTGAACTGCAGGTGTGGATCGATGCGGGAACACAGATTTTCTTCTCCTACGCCATCGGCCTTGGCGCTCTGACGGCTCTGGGCAGCTACAACCGCTTCAACAACGACTGTCACAAGTACAACAGAAGCATAAATCACAGATTTTGTCTGTTTAAAAGTTAAACTGCCCATAAATGTGTGCTTGTTTTTTGTCTCTACTCTGACAGGGATGCATTTATTCTTGCTGCAATAAACAGTGGAACCAGTTTCTTTGCTGGTTTTGTCGTCTTTTCCATTCTGGGCTTCATGGCTGCCGAGCAGGGAGTGGACATTTCCCTGGTGGCTGAGTCAGGTAAATCTAATGTTTTCATGCCATTACTTTTGGTCAAATCAACAGATGTCAATGGTCAGAGGATGTCATCAGTGGCAGAATGCTGACTGATGTGGACATTTAGGTTGAGGAGCTGCATGCGGTCTAAATGTTTGCATCAACAATGCATCCATGACATTGTGATTTTCTAGATGCATCTTATTACTAGGGGCCAGTGGTGGCTTAGTGGTTAAGGAAGCGGACTTGGGTCCGGAAGGTTTCAGGTTTGAGCCCTCCAGCTGCCATGTCCTGAAATTGTCCTGAAATTTGACAGGCTTCCAGACGGAGCGTTCTTGAGAACTAAAATAAATTATACGTAAAAGTCATGCATAATGGGTAAAATGCTAAAGATGTCTACGCCATCTATTGGGGAACCCTGGGTATTGCAGGCAAAAGGAAGCATATTTATTATTTGGAAAAGTTTGGCGGGGCCGGATTAAAAAGCTGAACGGGCCGCAGCCGGGCCCGCGGGCCTTAGTTTGCCCATGCCTTGCTTTAGATCGTTTCTGTCGGTGATCGTTACGTCAGTCCTGCAGGAACACATGAAACAGTCCCGTCCCGTCCCGTCCTTTCCACGTGGCAAATGAATGCAGCGTGCCACAAAGAGGCGTGGCTTAGCGCGCTGATCCAGATTGCACACATTTGTGTGTTTATTTATATCAGTCAAGTACATGGCACGGTTAAATTTAGAGCATCCACAGAAGGAAACACTGTAGCTTTGACTCTGCGGTCAGGATTATTTCAGCAGAGCCGCTGCAGCGGGATAAAGGAGACGCCAGAGGAGAGAAAAAAAAAAACTTAAACCACTTGACCCAGGCCCAGATTATTAGATCCACATCACCTTATGTCCTGGAATGTGTTCACACTGTAAGACACCCTTACTGCTGAAATGGATGTTCAGAAACCAGTCACAAATTCCATAGAGCACAGACGGCAAACTCAGGCCCACGGCCAAATATTTGGCCCACGAGATCATATCAAATGTATATATTAGAGTTGGCCCGCCATTTTGAAGCCACTGTATATTGGTGGGATTTGTAGTATTAGTGATATGCGCACTATACTACAGCACGACATATTTTGGGTTGTTCTTTTGTTGACCTGTGAAAAACGATTTACATTAAAAAGGAACTTGAAAGGTTAGAGATAGAGACAGAGAGAGACATATTACAATTTTTTTTAAATTTTATTTATAATACTAAGCATTGACTGTTCCAGATTGAATTTTTATGCAAAACAAAGGTTTGTTTCCATATTACATATTTTGAGAGAAGGGAAAACATGCACATTTCCAGTCAATTTTTCAATAAATATTGAGTTTGGCTCGCGACTTAAAGTTTTTAATCCTAGTTCCAGTTTTTAAATTTTGGCCCATATTGGTTCATAAGAAAATTTTTTGCAACCCCAACCCCACAAAAACGCATCCTTAACTTTTTTTTTTTTTTTTTTTTTTTTTTTTTTTTGGAAGCACCGAGCAACTTTGGTCAGTTGGCAGGAGTGAGATTGAAAAAATGAAATGAAAAAGAATGAAAAATAACCTCCCTTTTGCAATGTTATTCGAAATAAAAGAACACGAGCCACTGGTCTACTGCTGCTAACTTTTCACTGAGTCCTGCAGGACGAGGACTTTTTTTTTTATTATATTTAGCTCACGTTGATCTGTATCACTTTACCCAGAGCCATTTCCAAGTTATTCAATCTGTTTTTACAAGCTTATATTTAACTAAATACGTTGCTATCTTGCCAAAACTATAATTTTAGTTGGGCCTCTGCCCTAAGTTTCAAAGTACATTTTCGCAATTTGTCGTTTAACTCTACTACTTTATATCTATAAACACACTCTCTGGTCTCCTTCGTTCCAGGTCCAGGTCTGGCTTTCATAGCGTATCCAAAGGCGGTCACTCTGTTGCCCGTGTCGCCACTGTGGGCGGCTCTCTTCTTCTTCATGCTGCTGCTGCTGGGCCTCGACAGTCAGGTGAACAAAGCCTTTTGGTGTCATCCTTTGCTTTTACTGCACTGTCTAGGGTTGGGCTCTAACAGTGCTTCTCAAATAGTGGGGCGGGGCCCCCCCTGGGGGACGCAGTGAGCTCTCAGGGGAGGCGTGTACCACTGCTGTAATACGCGTCCTCGTGAGCTCCCAGGGGAGGCGTGTACCACTGCTGTAATGCTTGAATGCTAACAAGCCTCCAGTCACTAGGTGGCAGCAACTCATGCAGTGGTTTGTACAGATAAAAAAAAATATATACATGTTATCAGTATCAATCGATATCAATAGTATTTCAATTTGCCAATTCGCCAAAAGGGGGAGGCATGACAGAAAAGAATTGAGAACCACCGGGGCTATAACAAGGTGCCATTTTTTTTTTTTTTAGATTTCATGCTACGCTATTGCTTTTCAGATAATGGTCACGTAATGTTTAGCTACCGTTGAGGTAACTATTAACTGTCCTTAACTGTCTGTCTGTTTGACTGCTTGCAGTTTGTGGGTGTTGAAGGATTTGTCACCGGAATTCTGGACCTGTTTCCAGGGAAATACCAGCACCGTTACAAGCGTGAAATTGCCGTGGCAATCTGCTGCTCCTTGTGCTGTATCATTGATCTCTCCATGGTGACAGAGGTGACTGAATCCAGTTCTAATCCAGTTTCCTGGTTGGGGTTAAAATGTTGACTTTAACTTTATTTCGAAAAAAAGTTTTATATGCTCTTTTGAAACATACTTTGTGGAGATTTAAAAAAAAAAAAAAAAAAATTTTTTTTACTTCATCATTCACTCCCATACTGGCGTGCCTTTACGATTCATTTACTCATATTTGTTGTTTTGCCAATTTTTTTTTTTTCTCTCTCGTGTCTGTTTGCGTCTGTCTGTCTGTCCACAGGGAGGGATGTACGTCTTCCAACTGTTCGATTACTACTCGGCCAGTGGAATGACTCTGCTGTGGCAGGCGTTTTGGGAATGTGTGGTGGTGGCTTGGGTCTATGGTAAATATATATATACACATATACACACACTCAGTGTAACATGATAAGACCATGTCTGAAGGTCAGAGTTGTAATGATCACGTGATAAGCATTAAATCAGAACGACAGGTTTTATTTAAAAAAAAAAAAAAAAATGAGTCTACGTACTCTCCTCCATCATAAGGCAACATTATTCAGTATTTTTCTTACACAACAAAACCATTGATTTCCTGTAATTCTTTTCCAAAAATGCTTTTGGGATCTCAAATCGTGTTGATCGTCCAAATATTTTAAGTCAAGAACGCTGTAGCTGTGGTTTGTTTGAATTGCAGAGAATTCCAGAGAGTCTGATTTGAGTCTCGGTCTGCATCTTGACCCAGTCACAGTTAGTCGGTCTGTGTGCGGAGACTTTTACGACAGGTTTAGTCATAAAATGGCATTATAAAAAATGGCAATAAAAATAAATATAGCGCAGTAAAAGACTTCCTGAAAAGGTGAAAGTGACACCGAGGTGTTCCTTTTTTTTTTTTTTCCCTCTCTGACCAATCACAGGTGCCGACCGCTTCATGGACGACATCGCCCGTATGATTGGTTATCGTCCCTTTTTCTGGATCAAGTGGTGCTGGCTGTTTGTGACCCCGTGTGTGTGTATGGTGAGAGTCGATAACAACGCCACTAACAGTAACCGAAAGGATAACAATGTTGTGCGACTGACACGCTTCCCTGTTCCCCGTTGCAGGGCATCTTTTTGTTTCACCTGATCAACTACAAACCCCTGACCTATAACAATGAATACGTGTACCCGTGGTGGGGCGAGGTGATTGGCTGGTGCCTGGCTCTGTCCTCCATGCTCTGCATCCCGGTCAGTTTCCTCTACAGACTCTGCAGGGCGAAGGGAACCTTCAAAGAGGTCAGAGATGAGCGACCGTTGTTGCTGTTTAACACCCGTTTTTTTTTTTTTTTTTAAATCCTTATTTCATCCATATAAATTTTTGTGTGTTTGTTTGTGGGTGTTACATTACAGACCTGGAGTACATGGCCACTCCTCTTGTTTCCGGTGGTGACGACGGCAGAGTCATCATCTCTGAGACCATCATGTAGAGATGGATTTAAACAGTTAAAAAAAAGAAGCTTTTTTTTTGTGTGTCTAATAACTCCAACACCGCTCGGAGAGAAGTTCACGATAAGCAGGGATCCGAGAACAAAGGTCTCCGGTTTAAATGACCGTCATTGACCCTATCGTTTGATCAAAACCAAATTCATAAAAAAAAAAAATAATGCTAACATCTACTTCCTGTTCGGGCTCAAAGCCCAAATCATAGGAAAAGGCTTTACCCTGTGATCCTGATACAGATGTTAATACAGGTCATGTCCAAAAGCTATTTTTGTCCTAGTTCCGTCCAATATCACTTCATTTCTTCCACAGGGTGGAGCTTAGCTTGGTGAACTCGAATGTATCGTCGCTGCAGTGTTCATTTATTTGTATAGCTCAGATTTACAACTCACATTTGTCTCGTTGGACTTTACGGTTTTAAATAAGCATCGACATCAAACTTAAAATATCCTCCTCGAAAATCGAAATTAACAGGGGGAAAAAAAATGCAGGTCTAGACCCGGCATGGGCAAACTAAGGCCCGGGGGCCCGGATGCGGCCCGTTCAGCTTTTTAATCTGGCCCCGCCAAACTTTTCCAAATGATAAATCTCCTTCTTCCTTTTGCCTGCAATACCCTAGGGTTCCCCAATAGATGGCGTAGACATCTTTAGCATTTGACCCGTTATGCATGACTTTTACGTATATAATTTAGCTTAGTTCACAAGAACGCCCCGTCTGTCTGCTCCTGACCTGTCAAATTTCAGGACAACTGTGGCCCGCGAGTCAAAACGTTTGCCCACACCTGGTCTAAACAGTCGATGTCTATATTGAGTTGAAATCAACAACAATACAGACCGAAGCAGAATTAGGTTACGCTGAGTAAGCATTTTAACAACATCGGTGTTAAAAAAAAAAAAAACGCTCTTCTAACAAGAAGAAATCTAGACTCAATGTTGCCGTCCTCCTCGGCTAACGTTCACCAGCACTTCTTGTGACTCTGAAATGGTGTGTCGATCGGTGGTTCTCAAACTTTTTCCATACTCTGTACGACCACCTGAGATGACCAATGACCAACAGGCCTTCCCCGTTAGCTTCCAACACACAGGAGAGACGTTTATAGAACGACGTTTATGTTTAAATTTCAGATTTATTCAATTGAAAAGGTAAATGTGAAAATAGCGTACCACCGGTGGTATGCGTACCACAGTTTGAGAACCACCGGTGTAGATTAATAATAATCTCACACCCCAGTTATTGTTTCCCGTTTTCTGGCTTCACAAATCGGCTGCCACTAGAGAGGTGCTAAAGTCCCAATAAAAAAAATTACCGGGGTAAAAGTTCTCAGGTACCGTTAGGACACTGAAGTCTCATTGGCTTAGCCCCCTTTCGTATCGCAAATAAGTGCCAAACTCCAAATGTCACTGTGGCGTCAGATGGCGCCACTTTCACCTAAAACACGTTTCCTGACTTACTTATGCGATGAGAAAGAACTAATCAGAAATATTTAGTGATACTTGTTTATCATCAAGTTACAAAACACGTTTCCTGACTTACTTAAAGAACTAATCAGAAATAATTAGTGATACTTGTTTATCATCAAGTTATGGTCTTCTGTGTCCACTAGTCCAGTGCATAAACACCACCTAGTGGCCAGAAGGGAGCAGGAGGACTCTTGCCTTTTTTTTTTTTTGTCAATGTCTTAATGTCTCCTGAGTTTATATGGTCAAGCAAGTGTCATTAGGAAGTAGAATTATTAAATCGCAATTATTTAACTTTTTTTTTAACACCATTTTTTTTTTCTTGCTTCCATTAAACTTATCATCAGAGGCTTTTAGAGAATCATTTTAACAATATTTTGTACTATCTATGGAAAATTATTTTACTAATCTTTAGGTATTTCATTACCGGAATATCATCGGTAGTGGTATATTACTTCTCCGGCCATTTTTTTTTTTTTTTGTACGCCAACTAGAGAGCTGCAAGGCGCGGCGTCTACTGTTGTAAGAAGCCGTCATAAATAGAATGTACGATGATGTCATTTGCACATGGCTGCTGCACTTTGTTTTCTTTTGTAAAGCGATCAGAGATTTATTTTTTTGCGCAGAGACAAACTTTGAACAGATTAATATTTTTCATCGATTTTTTTCTTTCTTTTTTTCTTTTCCGTGTTTGGTAGATATTTGATGCAGTTTGTAAATATGATAATGATGATAGAGACAGCTATTCTTGATTGTTGGCTTTTAGTCAACAATCGTGAAACTCCATCAACTCCACGCTACCTCATGACCCGAGTTCTTTCTGCCTTCATGCAATCGTTTTTTTTGTCAACGCTCCCAGCCGGGGGGGGGTGTCTTGAACGATTCATTGTTGCAGTGAGGTGTTAGCATCTGAGCATTTAGCCTTAACAGGCAGCGTGGGGCGGGGCTTTTATTTCGGTGGGTTTTTGTTTTTGCGAGTGAGACGTTGGAGTAATGCAGTAAAAGTAAAAAGGGCAAGTTTTTCATCAAGTGATAAAAAGTGTTTTTTTTTTTTTTAAAAAAAAAAGAGTTTTACTTTTTCGAAGGTTTTAGCTTGTTTTGTTGTTTGTGTCTTTTACACCGAGACTACGTTGAAGGGCTGTTATGGTGAAGACTTTGACATAGAGCAGGAGAAGGTTTGCCGTTGTTCATGGCTGCTTTGTGTTCCTTTTTTTTTTTTTTTTTTTTTTTTTTTTTTTTTTTCCCCCGATAGAAATGCTCATTGAAATTTACACTTTTTTTTTTTTTTTTTTTTGAAAAAGCCCGAAGAGACCAATGACCTTTCTTATAACAGATTTCATTTAAATGAACATGATCATGAAAAGTTATTTGTAACCAGGCTTTTTCGACAGAATGTGATTTTTACTTTTTTTTAGTATAAACACTTCCCTTCATTAAATCATACAGAATAACACCCACTATCATTTTCCACAATTAATAGGTTTCGAATTTTGATTTAGGCCTAGAACAACTTTTAGAATAGACATACTTCATAACACATTTCTATGCAGATGATACCCTAAGTTTACATTACTTTTAGTTCGAGTTGTCAATCATTCATTGGCGACTCTTTGTGACCTTTGTTCTTCTAAATGTTTGTTTGTTTGTTTTTTTCCATTTAGAAGCTTGGCTTTTACTGACAACGCAATCTATTGAACAAAGACCAAGAACAAAAAAACATCTTATAAAAATGTTCATGTCATTAAAAAAAAAACTTACTATAGAAATCCCTGTGACTTTTTGCAGCCAGATGACAATGTCCTTTTATTATTTACAGTCAATGGTTTTGCGTATATGTTCTTCAATTGCCGTTAAGCTCTGATCACCTCTCATTTTAGGAAAAATATATATTAGCAACATACACGAGATGTCATTAAAACCATTACAATATTTTTACAAGGCGCATGATGCGAGCAGGTACCTTTAATCAGAAGTTACTGTTAATTAAAGTCATAAATTAGACTAATTAAAAACTGAATATTACTGCATTTTTTTTCTCAAGTTCTTATATAAAAATAGTACAATTAAAATGATTGCACCAAAAATTAGATCTAAATTTACCACTGTAATATTTACATTGTCCAAATGGTTTGTTTTATTTTATTCTGCAGTTGTCTTTAACTTGATAGTATCGGATCAAGAAAAAAAAAAAAAAAAAAAAAGCATTGTATGATTTCAGATACATTTATTAATTTCCCCTCAGGAAAATGGCAACTTTTTTTTATAATTGTTAAAAAAAATGTTTTAAACTCCCCTGCAGTGTTTTTTAATCCACAGAAAAATTGAAGGCACGCTAAAATGAAAATTAGGTTAAAATGCCTTTTAGGACATAAATACATAAATATTTGCTATAAATAATTTTTAGATAATTAACTCGGACTAAAACATTGCCAAAATGGTTTAAACCTTTTTGTTTACAACAGCAGGGGTGTCAAACTCACCGGGGGGCCACGTCATCAATACGGTTTCTCTTGAAGGGC